GATTTTTATTTGCCATATACGCATATCTCGCTGAGATACTTTCGCGTGGTTGACAAAAATTGTAGTCGAGAATAAAATGACATGGGGGAAAGGGGAGAGGGAGGGGAGTGGGTGGGTGGATAGGAGAGGGAGGGGAGTGGGTGGGCGGATAGGAGTGGGAGGGGGAAAAAAAAGAACAGAAAAAAAAGAAAAGAAAATGAAGAAAATTACATTTGTTACGTCGTTAATTATAATTTATGATATCTTCGTTAAATTTTATTTTCATATTAAAGATAAAAGAATCTTTATTAATTATGGGAATATAGGATGGATAGATAAATTGATAGATAGATAGATTTAATAATATTATCATTTTACTACGCTGACTAAGGTTTTAAGTTTTCCCTTTTGGTTGATAAGATTTCACTAGGGATATTCGAGAATGCCAATCAGGTTGGATCAACGCTTACCAAAGTCAAAGTTTAGATTACATCAGTCAGCTTCGTTAAAGACTTATCTTGTAAAATAATATGTCATTTGTAATTTTAATCGTCACCGTCGTTATAACAAATCTTTTAATACCGTTATCACCGCTTTGTTCTTCTTCCTTTTTTTCCCCTTTCTTGTCTTCTTCCCTTTTTTATTTTTCTTTTTTCTTTTTCTTCTTTTCCTTTTTTTTCTCTTTCCTTCTTTTTTTTTTTTTTTTTTTTTTTTTTTTTTTTTTTTTTTTTTTTTTTGAACTTCGATTATATCGCGATACATTATATCTTCGAATTATTTATTATTATTTGATCAATGATACAATGACAATGACATTTTTCTTTCAATTATTATTATTATTATTATTATTATTATTATTATTATTATTATTATTATTATTATTATTATTATTATTATTATTATTATTATTATTATTATAAAAATATATTTATTATTTGGAAAGTATTTTGTCTGATATAATTTAAACAATTATTTTATCGTCGCTGTTTGTATAAAAAAATAAAAAGATAAATAAAAAGAAAAAATAAAAATATAAAAAAAAGAGAGAGAGAAAGAGATAAAAAAAAACAAAGAATAATTATGACAAAAGATCGCGAAGATTTGCTTTCTTCGAAGTTTCGCAAAGGAAAGAAAAACAAAAAAAAAAAAATAAAGAAAAAAAAGAATGAAGATGAAAATAAAAATAAAAAACAACAAAAAAAAAAATAACAAAAAAATATTTTTTTTATTAAAAATAAAAGAAGATATTTATAAAAAAAAAAAAAAAGATAAAAAGAAGAAAGAGAGAAAGACGAGAGACGAATCTCGTGATAAGAAATAAAGAAAAAAAAGAAGAAGAAGAAGAAAAATAGAAAAAGAGAAAAAAAGAGAGAGAGAGAGAGAGAGAGAGAGAGAGAGAGAGAGAGAGATGAGAAGAAGACTCGATATCCCTCTTCTTCTTTTTCCTTTCTTTTTTTTTTTTTCTTGTCCCCCACATTTTTCCCACTTCAGCCTCCTTGTCTTTGGACTTTTATCGATGCTATGAGATTCTTTTCCAAGGTACCTCAATTAATTGAGCCCTCTCGTTTTATCTTTTTTCATTTCTCAAAGAGATGTCCTTCTAACTTTCTCTCTTTTTCTCTCTCTCTCTCTCTCACTCTTACTCTCACTCATTCTCTCTCTCTCTCTCTCTCTCTCTCTCTCTTTCTTTCTCCGTGTCTTTCTTTTTCTCTCTTTCTCTATCTTTCTCGATTAATTTCCAACACCCTTACAAATTTTTTTTCGACCTTTTTTCGATCGAAACTTTTTAATAGAATCAAAATTAAAAGTATCGTTTATATATATACATGTATAATAGATCATTGACCTAGAAGCAATAGAGATCTCACTCTCTTTCTTTCATACACTCTTTCAATTGACCTCCAATATCTACCAAATTCTATTTTTTTTTTCATACAAATTTTCAGATATAATTTACGACATATATATATATATTTATTTATTTATTGATTGATTTATTTATTTATAACATCGAAATGAAAGGTATCAGTAATTAATTGGTAATCAATCAGAAATAACAAAAGTAGTTGAATTAATTAAACTTCTATCTTTATCTATGTATATATATATATATATCTTACTCTCTCTCTCTCTCTCTCTCTCTCTCTCTCTCTCTCTCTCTCTCTCTCTCTCTCTCTCTCTCTCTATTTTTCACACTCTCAATTAATCTTCAGAATCTTGACATTTCCATCCATTAATTTTTGATTAAAAAATTTTCAGATATAATTTACAATATATTACGATATATATTTAGATAATCAAAATGAAAGATATCGTTAAATAATCATTAATCAGAAACAATAAAAGTAATTAAATTAATTAAACTTCTATCACTTTCTATATATATATATATATATATATATATATATATATATATATAAATATATATGTATATATGTATTTTCTTTTTCCTTTCAATTAATCTTTAGAACCTTGACATTTCTATCTATTAATTTTTAATTAAAAAATTTTCACATGTAATTTAGAATATATATATATATATATATATATATGTATTTTTTTTTCTCGTTTCAATTAATCTTTAGAAACTTGACATTTCTATCCATTAATTTTTAATTTAAAAATTTTCACATATAATTTACGACATATATACATATATTAATATATATATATGTGTGTGTGTGTGTGTGTGTGTGTATTAAGAAAATTCCAAAATGAAAAATATCGTTAACTAGGAATCGTGAAGAAGCAACAGAGATGGTGGTAGCTCAAGAAAACGTTGTGCCGACCGAGCAATTACGTCGCAAAACTTCCTTCCAAAGTTTTTCCACGCTTAACGAGCGTGATAAATTTCTGTTACGCGCCCTCGGTGGGCAACGAACGCGAGCTTGGTAGAGAGAGAGAGAGAGAGAGAGAGAGAGAGAGAGAGAGAGAGAGAGAGAGAGAGAGAGAGAGAGAGAGAGAGAGAGAGAGAGAGAGAGAGAGAGAGAGAGAGAGAGAGAGAGAGAGAGAGAGAGAGAGAGAGAGAGAGAGAGAGAGAGAGAGAGAGAGAGAGAGAGAGAGAGAGAGAGAGAGAGAGAGTTTACAACGACGATAAAAATCTCGTTGAAATTATTCATGGGCCGAGGCTAACACCTAAGACCCTAACCCCTACTTTCCTTCAACCTTGAGAAGAAGAACGAGAAGTGGAATAAGAAGAGAGAGAGAGAGAGAGAGAGAGAGAGAGAGAGAGAGAGAGGAAAAAAAGAGAGAAGAGAATGTTCGTCTTCACGCTTTGTAAAAATCTCTTTTTTTCTTTCTTTTTCATTTTTATATGTATATATATATATGTGTGTGTGTGTATGTGTGTGTGTATATAAATACATATAAGAAGCATCACGAGAAAAACTTCTCCCAATTTTACTTCAAGGACAAAGAACAGCATAGCTTTCTCTCTCTCTCTCTCTCTCTCTCTCTGTCTCTCTCTCTTTTTCTTCTTCTCTTTCTACAATCATAAATTAATTTCTTACAAGACTCTTCTCTCCATCCTTTTAATAAATTTGAAGACAAACAAGTCAACAAGAAGTTCATGATTACTCTCCGTTGTAGAAAGTAAAAATAATAAAAAGGAAAAAAAGAAGCGGGTAAGGGGGAGTGGGGTAGGGTAAAGGGAGGAAAAGGAAAAAAAAAAGAAGAAGTAGAAAAAGAAAGGAAAAGGGAAAAGGGAAGAAAACGAAATTAACTATTTTTATTGTATATCCTTTGATTCGAATTATATATATATATATATATATATATATATTTATGTACAAATAGAAAGATAATATAAATCAGATGAGATCAAAGATGACACACAACGAGTGTGTCTGTGTGTGCGCGTGTGAGAGAGGAAGAGAGAGAGAGAGGGATCTAATCGAAATCACATCAATCAAACAGAAAGACACACAAGAGAAGGTAGTTCGTTCGTTCTTTTTTTTTTTTTTTTTTTTTTTCTTTTTCTTTCTTTCGTTAGACAAATCCAAGGTATCAAGTTCCCCTTTTTATGTTTTATACGTCGATCGGTAAAAAGATCGTCTAACAATTCGTTGACGTCCTATCTTATATCGAAGAAGCCCAGTTTTACTCACATTTCGAACCCTACTTTAGGACACTTTTCTTTTCTCTTTTTTCTTATTTTTTTTTCTTTCTTTCTTTCTTCCTTCTCTCTCTCTCTCTCTCTCTCTCTCTCTCTTTCTCTCAAATAGTGATCGAACGATTCGAGAGAGAGAGAGAGAGAGAGAGAGAGAGAGAGAGAAGCTTCACGATGTAAACGTCCTTCGTTTTTTCGTCCTTCTTTTTCTCCTTTTTTTCTCGAGATAAAAAAATACTTCGTCCTTCCCCTCCCACCCCACCCCACACCCCACTTATTCCTTGGTGATCCATAGTGTCTCTATTTGCGATCTATGTGTATGAAAATCCCTATGAAATCTTAGCTCCTACGATATTTGCATTCTCAATTTGATAACAAAATTTTATCGAACGATTTAAGATACCTAGATATACATATATATATATATATATATATAGGGTAAGTTTTTTAAATTGTGAGTATGTACAAAAAGAAGATCGAAGACGATGGATTTTTGAAAGGAAAAATATCGGACGAAAATTGCTTGATCCTTTTTTTTTTTTTTTTTTTTTTTTTTTGACGTTAGTAATCTCGCAGAGATGAAATGGGAATTAAAGAATTTAGAAATAAGAATAAATGATAATAGATATAACGTTATTACGATATAAATAATTATTTATCTATTATCGATTAATTGATCGCTATTTCCTGAATTTCTATGATATTTACATACGTACAATTACATCACGACATATGATTAATCCATATATATATATATATATATATATATAAAGTAATTTAATTATATTTATTCTTTTTTTCATATAATAATACGATCTCGAATGAATAATAATTTCATTAATTATTATAATATTCTTTTAAATGTTAAAAACGTTCGTCTGTTATATTATAATATTGTATTTGTATTACTAACTTGATAAAATTTTCAAGAAGCAAACGAATTCCACCGATTCCAAGCATGAGGAAGCCCCAATTGACGAATCCCGTAAAGTTATCGAAACCCGAGCTCCATGAAAAGAGACTGTCTCTTGGCCGATGACATCTGAAAGAAGAAAAGTGGAACGTTGAAAATATTTAACGAAAAAAATAATAAAAAAAAAAAAAAAAAAAAAAAAAAAGAGAGAGAGATAGAGGAAGAAAGGAAGAAGGGAATCCTGAAGAATATTTCCTTCGCCTTTCATCCTGAATTTCAAACTAAGTCGTTCACAGACAGATATGAGGAAAGAAATGTGCCATAAGAGATACACCACATAAGAGTAAGAAAGAAAACGACGATAATAAAAGCAAAAAGCCACGCTGCTACTTCTCTTTCGTATTACACTAAGATCGTTGGTATCCTATTTTAACTTAACGAAAAGATTCCTGAATAAATGTTTGAATTTTTTTCTCAAAACGATTCTTTTTGTTATATAGAATATAACTCCCTCCCTCCCTCCCTCCCTCCTTCCCTCCTCCTCCTCCGCCCTCCTCCTTCTCCATTCTCTACCATCTCGTTTTCTCCTTCTCCTTTTCATCTTCTCCTACTATCATTTATTATAATAAAATATAATATCTGCATTTGAGTCTGTTATAGGTACAGCTACGTTACTCTTTAAATCTTCATAATATATGCCTTTCATATAATCCAACGTGATGCAATTACTATACTCCCTTGGCCTCTTTGATCTATGCATTTATACGTATTTATTTATTTGGATTTTAGTCGAAGGACGATGGGTATTATTTTTCTTTTTTTTTTTTTTCTTTTTCTTTTTTTTCTTAATTAATTATATTCTTCTAAATATGAAGTATTTCTTAATTATATAAATAGAGACAGAGATGACAACGAAATAATGTATCGTTTGATAAATCATTACGAATTGTTACGAAACGATATTTCAATGGATAATTAGTGACTCGATAAACATTATGACGTAAGTTATTTTCTAAAAAAAAAAAGAAAAAAAAGAGAGGAATATATATATATATATATATATATATATATATATATATAAAACCTACTCTGAGTGTGGCAAAAAAATTTTTCTATAAAAACCAATTATATGTTTTTTCCTACCGAAATTTTTTTTTTTTTCTTTTTTAAAGCTTTTCAGTTAGCTCCGTAGTTTTGTTTTGTTTCGTTCTGTCTTTTTTCTTTCTTTCTTGCTTCTTTTTTTCTTTTTCCTTTTTTTTCTTTTTCTTTTTTTTTTTTCTCTTTTTTTTTTCGTTACGAACAAGCCTTGCAGTTTCGCAAATTAGGCACTTCTAGTACTTTTATGAATCTGCAAGAAAGAAAGAAAAACAAAATTTCACCGAAATAGTTTCGAAATGGGATAATTGATTTTTTAAAATCACCTAGGAACTTTCGACCTATCTAAAAATTTTTAATCCACCTCAGAACTTTTGAATCACCCTATATATATATATATATATATATATATATATATATATATATATAAAGAGAAAAGGAACATTCTCTCTCCCTCTCTCTCTCTCATGTATATATATATATATATATATATATATATATATATATATATATATACGTCATGTTTCTTTATATGTATATATGTATATATGTATATATAAAGGGAAAGAAAGAGAGCGAAAGAGAGAGAGAGAGAAAGATAGAGGGAATTAAAATACAGCGGAATGTTCGCACATGGTCTCCCGAGGGAACACTTCCAGAAGAACAAATCGTATTTTATTTATTTACTTTTTTCCCTTTCAGTTTTTTCATTCCTTTCCTCCTTCCTTTTTTTTTCCTCCTCCTCCTCTTCTTCTTCTTCTTCTTCTTCTTCTTCTTCTTCTTCTTCTTCTTCTTTTTTTATTCATTACTTTTTTCCTCCAAGAGAAAACTGACGCTTCTCTTTGTCGCGACGTTCTCGTCGTAATATAAAATTTGAATGTCGTACAGTAAAGAAAAATCGTCTAGTGTTTTACATTCTCTCTCTCTCACTCTCACTCTCACTCTTTCTCTCTCTCTCTCATTCTCTCTCTCTCTCTCTCTCTCTCTCTCTCTCTCTCTCTCTCTCTCTCTCTCCGTCTGTCTCCGTCTCTCTCTCTCTCTTGTATGGATATAATAGAATGTAAAATAGAGGATAATAACCGACTTCTTAGATGAAATGTAACGATCCACGTTGTAAGTCCTTTCTTATATCTTCCTCCTTACAAAGTAATGGAACTCACTTGAAAAAAAAAAAAAAAAAAAAAAAAGAAAGAAAAAAAAATTTAAAAAAAAAAAAAGAACGAAAAAAAACAATCTGGAAGATATTTAAGAAAAAAAAAAAAAAAAGAAAAAGAAAATATCATTGTCGACGAAAAGAGAAAAAGAAAAAAATAATAATTCCGTGAAATAGAAAAAGGTATGATAAAATTGTCATACTAATCATAACATCTGAATGAATATTATGATACGTAAAAAACTGTCCTATATTTTCTTCCCTTCAAAACTCATGCTCGTATATAACGCACGTAAATATAAACAGACATACAGACACATAGATACAGACAGACATTTAATCATGGATATTTAAAGTATTACATCATATTAAAAAGAGAGCGTGTCAACGTGTCGAAAGTAAAATGTTGTCAATGACATTAGTATAATCGACCCTAATTTAATGAAAGACCTTTGCCCATTCTTTCAAATTAAATTCATTCAAAACATATGCTCAAATAAAACGTATGTACATATGCAACCTTTCAACATACATACATACATACATACATACATACATACATGCATACATACATGCATACATACATATATACGTACATACACACATGTATACTTGACATCAAAATGCTAACTCCCATCTTTTTTTTTTTTCCTTTTTCCTTTTTGACGACCATAACGTCCAAGTGGCTCCATCCAAATGAAGTACTTAATTAACTTGACTCGCGAGTAGTACTACGTACTCTTGCGTTACAGAAAGAGAAGGGTTAAAGGGTGAAGGGTTAGATGGTGACTGGCAAACGAAAGGATGTGAGAAAGAGTGAGAAGAAAGAAGGGAACTGGTTGAAGAGGAAAGGTGAGAGGGGGGAGGGAGGAGAGGGCGTGCATGAGGGTGAATGAGAAGTAAGGAAGGTTGAATAAAGGTACGGAAGGGAGAAACGAGGGTTCACGTCGAAAACTTTGACTAAGGTAAAAGAGTACTTCCTCTCTTTCTCTCCCTCCCTCCCTCTCTCTCTCTCTCTCTCTCTCTCTCTCTCTCTCTCTCTCTCTCTCTCTCTCTTTTGCAAAAGTAAAGGAAACAACAGTACGCAGAATATCTACTACTTAGGCTAATTTTCATGAATTCTAATTGCAATTGTGGGATTCCGAAGAAACGAATAAAAAATAAATAAATAAATATATATATATATATATATATATATATATAAATAAATAAATGAAAGAGAGAAAGAAAGAAGAAAGTTCACGACGATAAAAATTGATTGATAATATTATCAATACAATTAAAATGTAATACGTATATATATATATATATATATATATATATATATATATATCATCGAAATTCCTAAAAAAAAATTTTCAAAATGAATCTTTTACAGATTCTTCTTCGTCTCCTTCTTCTTCTTCTTTTTCTTCTTCTGCTACTAATACTTCTAATACTAATACTAATACTAATACTATTACTACTACTATTACTCTCATTTGCATTAACTTCCTCGATTAGGTTTCTTCGTTAGTGTCAACGAAAGGAATTAATTTCCCACGCGTTGATCTACAGAGCAGAGGTACATGTCTTAGCTGACAGCACCGGCGTCGTGTAAGGCGATACGATCGTAAACGACCTTGGAAAGGCTTCTAAGCCACTAACTGCTCCTTTAGAAATCCCCCTTGGCTTCGAGCATTCGTTAAAGATCTTTCTCATCTAAAGCAAGAGCAACGAGAGATGCGAGAAAGAGCGAGATTAATTTATTTGGAAAAAAAAAAAGAAAAAAAAAAAAGAAAAAGAAAAAAAAAAGAAAACAAAACAAAACAAAACATGACGACGACGCAAAATCGAAGGACAATATAATCTTCATTCAATACAATTGTGTGTGTGTGTGTGTGTGTATGTTTGTGTGTATTAATTGCCATGATCTCTTTTCTTATCTTTTTTTATTCGACGTCGATTCGACAATGTTATCAAAATAAAAGACAAGTATAATATATTTTGTACTGAACGATTATTTTTCAATGATTTTTCTGTTATTAAAAAAAAAAAAAAAAAAAAAAAAGAAAAAAGAAAATATGGACTGTACACGTAAATATTATTTTTAATAACGATTCAACAATTTACAATAATATTTCGGATCAATAGGATTGTAATATTATTATCTACATTAAAAAATTTTCGATAATATCACGCGTTATACAATACTTGTCAAATATTATCCTTTATTAATTTCCATGATATTAGAAAGAATATTCGTTCGAATTAATCATTCAATTTCAACAGATTGAATTTATATAGAGAGAAAATAATTCTTTGTACAATTGACATATATATATATATATATATATATATATATATATATATATATATATCTTCTTTTTTTATTTTTCTTTTTTTTTTTCTTTTTCTTTTTTTTTTTTCTTTCGATAACAAAATCAATTCGACGAAATTATCGACGAGAAAATATAATAAATAAATTTTAACGATTATAAAACAAATATATAAAATTCAACACGTTATTATTACTCTCAGATTGTAATAATTTTAATCATACATATATTCGATATAATTAATAATAAATATCTCTATCTAATCTCTTAGAATTAATAAAATATATGTCTGTGTGTGTGTGTATGTGTATGTGTATATATATGTAAGGAACTCATGTAAGACTCATATATGGGTCCCATGTATATAACGGAGAAGGTTCCATACTCTCTCTCTCTCTCTCTCTCTCTCTCTCTCTCTCTCTCTCTCTCTCTCTCTCTCTCTCCTTCTCTCCATTCTTCCCTCTCTCCTTCTCCTCCTTCTCATAATTATCTGCAATAGCTCCTTCTAGCGATGCCACTAACGGTTGGCAGCCTGTATTAGACGACATTGGCGAACCACCTTC